TTCCTTCCTTCCTTCCTTCCTTCCTTCCTTCCTTCCTTCCTTCCTTCCGAGTCTTGAAAGGAAAACCACTGATTGTTTTAAATATAGAAGCAAGGGATGTTTCATACAATGGTTGGATTTCATTGTTTAGACTCATTATGGCTAACATAAATTTACAGCTTGTTTCCTCCTAATATTCACAGCAGTCAAATGGCTAACGAGTATCCTTCCGTGATTCTAGCTACATTAGCAGATAATGTGCTTGCTTGAACAAAATGTTCCCTTTCTTCTCAGTAGCACAGCCATGAAAATCTGTAAGAACCAGTGATGTTTGATTTATTCATTTAATCCAACGGTAGTAAAATTTGGTTATCTTCCTGTCTGTGTAGATTTCAAATTAAAAAACAAAAAAATTTGTAAAGGCTAACCAGACTAATGTTATGCTGCAGTGTGAACACATTTCTCACTGACCATTTGCGTATGCTATTTTTAGACAAGGGGAGACAAAAGCCTGAAAGGTACATCTTACTGGAATTAAAAGAAGTAATTTACAGGAACCATAGACACCATCAACTATAGAAACGAAAATGTGTCCTTTGCATCTTTTAGGGGAGAGATTTCTTTTTCTTTTTGTTCTTTTTGCCTCCCTTTAATCCTTGCAGAATGATTTTTACTTAAGATTTGCCTGAAGGCGTGCAAGAAGGGATCCACGGTGTCCAAACTTGGATCAGCGGTCCTGTGCTGTGTCCTTGTCAGTGCTGAAAGGTAGCCTCAGCATGTCACGAAACACCAGACCGTGGTGGTCTATTACCCACATCACAGAGAACCCCCGGAGAAAGAGGTGGAAAGACAGTGCACTATTATTTTTTTTTTTTTTAATTTTTTTTTTCAACGTTTATTTATTTTTGGGACAGAGAGACAGAGCATGAACAGGGGAGGGGCAGAGAGAGGGAGACACAGAATCGGAAACAGGCTCCAGGCTCTGAGCCATCAGCCCAGAGCCTGACGCGGGGCTCGAACTAACGGACCGCGAGATCGTGACCTGGCTGAAGTCGGACGCTTAACCGACTGCGCCACCCAGGCGCCCCAATATTTGTACACTAATATAATTATAACCTCTGGCTGGTGGTGCTTGTAGGGAAGCATAACCATACCCCAAACTAATGAGACAGCTCACTTCTGAAGCCGCTTAGCTGGGTGGTGGTTGTTCTCCTCGCGACCTATGCAAATAAGAAATTAGAAGAAGCAAAGGCAGAAAAGGACAGAGAGAACAACACAGCATACAAGATGAAAATTGCCGTCCTGGTACGCTTGCCGTGCTGGGGACTTTGTGGCTCTCCCCTCCCGGTGAGAGGTTGGTTGGTCCGAAAGAGACCAACCCCGGAGAAAAATCAGTAGCCTTCCTGACTACAGCACTGAGATGTGCAGTTGTGTAGCTCGGAAACATGAAGGATTTGGCCATTTCACTGTGGTCTGCTACTGACTAGGAATTGGGAAATGCTACCTGATGGAAAAGCAATCCAAACTTAAAAGAGTAAGGCCAGCGTGGCTTGCTTACCTGTTCAGAGCTGTTTTCCAAACGGTATCTCACGTGATCTTGACGAGAGAATCAGAAATCCAGTAGGGGCTGAAAGGCAGAATGTGTTTTCCTACAACGTATAAATATTGGCATTTCGCTCGTGAGTGAAGGTGTACCTGCCTGTATGTTTGCACAAAGAACAAATCACAGCCTGTAGGGTCAGGAGTCTTGAGGTTTCCTTTTCTTTTCTTTTTTAAAATATTTGCATCAATTTGAGAATCAATGTGGAGCTTTAGAAATGTAATTGTTGGTTATTCACT